TGTCTGGTCATGCTCACTTCAAAGCGGATCTCCTGCTTGTCCTGTTCTATTGAAAATGTGTGTTCTTGTCACTACTATCAAGGGCAGTGTGGAAGCAATCGATGTGGTTAGCAAATTATTCTTGCACGGTCACGTTATGAAGTAGAGTTAGAAAACTTAGGATGTTATTCTTCCAATTCAAAAATCCCTTTATCGTTTTGGAGCAGAAAATGAAACTCGGGGGGCTTGGACATCGACAAGAAGTGGACAAGAAGGGAAGAACATAAGGTGGCAGCACTTTACGTGCAGCGGTGCTAAAATCCTCATAGATATATTCAACACCATCCTGTTGTTTCATGTAAATACTTTTATGGGGATTGAGACGAAATAGCCTAAGAGCAAGTCATAATCACTTAGAGACTTAGCAATTCAAAATATGACTTTTACAGAAATGGATATTTTGCAGCACTTTCCAGTTTGTACAAAATTAGATATCAATATCTGTCAATATCTGTCTGCTGCTTAAATAATATAATTTACCGTGCAGATCTTCTCTTTCTTCTAGGCTGAAGGAGTACATATTTGGTTTTATCAAACTGATGCACCTGTGTTTTCTCCCGTGGTGACAATTGATAACTCAGGTTTCATTGCCTCCGTTGATGGCACGATCACTAAGATTTGGTTAAATGAAGGAAAAAAAGTAAGTCCACTGACTATCACCACCTTTCACTTTACTGTATTGAAGAATTTTGCAGGAAGTTGCTGTAAACGTCCGAGAACCAGTCTTTTCTAGCATATCTATTTTCGACGATCTCATGTATATTGTCACAGAACGCGGATCACTTATAGTCGCAGACCTCAAGTTACACATCCTTCAAAATTTTCGCTTTCCATCTTGCAGATTTGTTGTACCGGCATTACGTGTTGCTCACAATATGCTAGGTTTAATTTCATCTTTTGGATTGTTCATATTATTCAGTGAGGGTGGTGAACGTGCTTGTGCATTTCGCTTAGGTAGAGGTGAAGTTTTTTCTTCAGTAATTTTTTGTAAAGGAGATTTCCTAATTGCTGGTTGTAGAGATAACTTCTTGAGGTGTTTTGAGCGATCTTCTGCTTACCTGTGATGTAGGATAGAAAGTTGAGCATTTTCGATTTTTCATGTTTAACAAATTGAAACTAATTAAACTTGTGAATAGTTGTATTTGTAACTTTGATAAGACTTCTCCTCAAGAAAAAGCACTTAGCCAAAACATTTCACCGCGGCATCACTCATAGCGCTTTGACCACAAAAGCTGCACATCCTTTGAACGAAAACTGGTTATGTCCCACATAACGGAAGCAGCTGAACCAGGAGACATCAAGGTAGAAGATATACCGGGATGGATTGAGAAGAGAAGTGATGTGGCCAAGCATCTCGTCATGAAATATCTGTGTAGGGCTGATGAAGATTCGGCAGGTCTGCAAGTTTTGCTGTTTTTTAAAGCTGTTCTAATTCGTCATGAGTCTGTTGCAAGGCTTTTAAAATGAGTTGCTTATCATTTTTTAGCAGTTACCAAAGTCATTGATAAAAACCGCAAACAATAACAGACGAAATGCTAGAGGTTTCTGCAAGAACGCCTTCGACTAATTAGAGAACTACCTCGTAGAAATTCTAGCAAGTTAATCGAGTTGTTCAGAATCAATAGTTTCTGTTGACT